AGGGGCTTCACAGAACCTGAGCCTGAAAAGAGGAGACAAGAGGTTGTAGAAGAAATACTGTGAACTCTGCTCTAGCACAAAGAAAAATGGGAGATTACATTCAGAAAGTCTACACCGTGGACTATGAACGCAATGGAAGCAGTCTGGGAAATAAGCCTACTTTATGTACAATTAAATGCTGTTCTCAACAACAGCAAGAAGAAAAAGCATCTGACAACTTTAATAAATATAACCTCCAAGATAAACTCATCGTCAGCTTATTCTGGCAAAGCTCTACCATTAGGGATGACTTTAATCACTCTGTTATTATTTAGGCAATTGTCTAAACTTATCCTACTATTTGGAGTCCTGGTGTGGCGCTGTGGGTTAATGCACCAGACTGCAAAGCCATTTGAACTGAAAGGTCGGCAGTTCAAGCTCACCAGCCTCTCCTTGGAAACCCTGTACAGGGTGGCTATGGGTAGGAATCAACTCAACAGCACTTGACAACAACAACATCATACTATTTGTGTGAATAACGTCATATCATCTGCATACCATTCTTCCTGTTTCAGAGGAATATGCCCTTAAACTAAACAACCAAACCCACTGCCATTGAGTCCATTCCAAATTACAGTAACCCAATAAGGGAGCCTGGGGAACTGGTGTGGCATTGTAGGATAAGCACTCGACCACAGGGTTGGTGTGACCTGCAAGGTCAGCAGTTCAAACCCTCCAGTTGCTCCTTGGAAACACTATATAAAGTCATTATGAGTCAGAACCAATTAGACAGCACTTAACAACAACAATAAAAGAGAGTAGTACTCCTTAGGATATCTGAGGCTAAAGCCTTTACAGGAGTTAAAACCCTCATCCTCCTCCTGTGGAGTGGCTGGTGGGTTTGAATAGCCAACACTGCCGTTACCAGGCCAACATTTAACACACTGCACTACCAGGGCTTCTAATATGCCCATGTTGTTGTTGTTCTATGCCATAGAGTCAGTTCCAACTTGTAGTGTTTCTCAGAGCATTTGGTGGATTTGAACTGCCCACCTTTTGGCCAGCCATCCAGTGCTTACCCTATAATGCCACACCAGGGCTCAATATGCCCCTAGCTCTTCCAAAAGTAATACAGCATCATAAAGGTACAAGCTAAACAACAATGAGGATAAATGTGGCAGATACTATATTAACACATGATTTTGTTGTTAGTTGCTGTTGAGTTGATTCTGACGTATGATGGCCCATGTGTTGTACAGTAGAACTGTCCTATAGGGTTTCCTTGGCTGTAATCTTAATGGAAGCAGATCATCAGACCTTTACTCCTACAGTACTGGTGGGTGAGTTCTAAGCTTCAAATTCTAAGTAAACAGTTACAAGTAACTTGTGCCACCTCTTGTTGTTGATTCCGTTCCAACTCATAGCTACCTGTATAGGGTTTCCAGGCTTCACATCATTGCTGGAGCAGAAGGCCTCATTTTTCTACCACTGAACAGCTGGCGGGCTCAAATCATGGACCTTGTGGTTGGCAGTCTTGTGTTATCGTATGAAACCACCGCATTAAGGAACTTGTATTAACACATGTAGTTTTTGTTGTTGTTGTTGTGTGCCATCCAGTCAATTCCTACTCAGGTAAGCTTTATAGGACTAAGTACAAATGCCCCCATAGGTTTTCTACAGTTTCATCTTTATAGAAGATTGTCAGATCTCTTCTCCTACAGAGCTAGCTGCTGGTGGGTACCAACCACAGACCTTTCAGCTGGCACTGAGCACTAAACAACTGCACCACTAATGTGCCTTACATTAGCATGTAGAGAATATGTTGTTGTTGTTGTTGTTAAGCTCAGCAAGGGCCCCAGTGAACACATTTCCCATTACAGTACTGGAGGAGTGAACCTTTTTAATACATTTGTCCTTGTGTGGTATTGTGGGTTAATGTGCTAGACTGCAAAGTCATTTGAACTGCAAGGTTGGTGGTTCAAGCTCACCAGCCGCTCCTTGGAAACCCTATCAGGATCGCTAAGGGTCTGAACCAACTCGACAGTACTTAACAACAGCAACAACAAAGTGCCTCAAGTACAAATTGTGAAAAGTCCATGCCTTCCTCTAAGCAACATTATGTTTATAGGTATATATCAGTCAGAATCCTGTGAGGAAACAGGAACCATAGCAATCAATTGAAAAGATAAAAGTTTAATATAAAAAAAAATTGTCAATTCACAGTACAATATACATTCTTCTCCAGGGCACAAAGACCATTCTCCAGTACAAACCATATCCTAGGGCAGGGCACAAAGCAAGTCCCAACAAAATTTAAAAGAATAAAATTATTAAAGTATCTTCTCTTACCACAACAGAATGAAACTAAAATTAGAATATATAAATATGTGGGAGTTTAACAGCACAACATTAAATAATCAATATTTTTTTTAAATGTTTAGTACTAAGAGGTTCTTAACTACTTAAGGAGGTTTTAAAACAGCTCTAAAGAATACAAAACTAGAAATATAGGGAACACCCAATACTTCTAGAATTGAAGTTCAGTATCCACGTGTGATAGTTACGTTCTGCTTCGAATGTATTGAGCCAGGAGACCCAGTTGTTTGGCAGATGATAGTTAATTCTATGAAAATTGGCTATGAGCAGCCAATTAATTGACAGGATGTTTCCTTGGGAGTGTGGCCTGATCCCAATATAACAGACATGAAGGAAAGACTCGCACTCTTCTTCGCTGCTGGGTTCGGATCTAGCATGTGGATCATCCTCCAACGTCCGGTACTTTGAACCTGAGCCAGTGGCCTTCTCTTTGTACATTTGCCTCTGGGCCTGCTCGCTGAGTATGCCTGGAAAATCGGATGCCCACCAGAGGACCTTGCATGTCTGTTCCTGTTGGTCGGCTCCTGTGCCCCACACCACCGGTTCTGCAGTGGGTCTGGCCAGGCCTTGGTCCACTGTCACCCTGCTCCAGTACCAATGTCCGGCTCTGTGCCCTGAATTGGGATTCCTGCCTTCTGGAACCACCCGCTGATCTTGATTCACCTGGTCTGTCTGCACTTGGAACTCTCCTATCTCTACAAACTTGAGCCTTTTCCTTGATATAAACTTCTCTTTTTTTTTTTTTTTTTAATGTTTTACTGTGAATTATATGATAGTTTACATGAGAGAACTTTAGTTTTACATTCATTCTATCGTATATCGTTTCATTGCCATGGTTCCAATCCCCTCCATACATCATCAACTGACCAAAGGGTGTACCCTGCAAACCCACCCCCTACACTCCCCCGAAACTTCTCTTTATATATATAAGTAGCACTGGTTTTGTTTTACTAGAAAACCCAGCCTAAGACACCCTGGAAAGAAGAAATTTGGAAGAGGGCCTCCTGACAAGACTTACATTTAGAAATGGGTTACTAGTGAGTCTCCCAGGGAAGTACCACTGGGTATTAATAAGACTTCCTAGGAGGCATCATACTGCAATGCCATCAAATTTACCAAAAGAGGAGCGAAACTGGGCCTTCTGTACACTGCAGATCCACAAGTTGAGAAGATCAGCAATAAAAGCCTAGAACTAGGAAAAGAAGGCATTTCTCTGTGTGTTGGAGTGTGTCTCTAGTGTCCTGACAAGGCAAAGAACTACTCTGTTTTCACCTATCACAACCAAAGCTATCCTTACAAGTGAACAGTTCTCATCCACCTCCCAAAACAAGTTCCAGTCACGGATAAATTATTAACTCCTTAAATTCAGTTACAGTTCCATTGGATATTCTGTTATCTATTCTGTATAATTAAGGAGCTCTGGTAGCATAGTGGTTACGAATCAAGCTGTGAACCGCAAGGTCAGCAGTTCAAAACTACCAGCTGTTCTGTGGGAGAAAGATGAGGCTTTCTGCTCCCGTAAAGATTTACAGCCTCAGAAACCCTGTACAGGGTCGCTATGAGTCGGAACCAACTCCACAGCACATAACAACAACAACATTCTGTATAATTAACACAACATCCCTCAACTTGCATGTGAAATAATAAAGTGAAGAAGGAGAGAGAAGAAAAAGAAAACAATTTATGTATACAAATAAACACATACACATGAGAACCAAAGGTAAGTTCTTGTTATGTAACTGGCTCCAGAATTGATATCTCTGACTTCTCTCTTCTACTTCCTTTTCCTTGTCCCCCACCCTCAGCCAGAACCTCAGAGTTCTTTACCTGGTGGAGTGACTACACCTTCATTCCTGAAAGGTCTCAGTACTCTGCAGTCCTGTCCCTTTGGGGATGCTGACGTTTTCCATTTTCCTTTAACACCAATATCTGAGACAGTGCTCATGTCAAGGCTCTCCACAATTCTCTGCTCTAGAATATTCTCCTGACCACTTATATATTAATTTTGTTACAGTTCTCTTCTTTCCACCTTGTGTGGACCAAAACTGGAACCCAGTTCCTTCTTCTCAGTTCCAGAATTAACACACACAGTGTATTTATGACTAACAGAATTTTACAATTTGGGAAAAACATGTGCTTCAGCTACCCAAGAATAAGTATGTGACAAACTTATTGATTTTCTCATCTTAAAAGTCCAACCCTCCATGTCCCAGGAAATTCTGAAGATGGACATTTTCTGATCCATTTTCATGTTATTGTTGTTAAGTGCCTAAAAATAGAGGTAGGGTCCCACACTCAACACAAAATCAAGTTGGATAAAGCAAATTATACTTCAGAGGATTCAACCCCTCTCCTTTCATATACAAACAGTATAAAATGCTCATGGAGTATTTTTCATGATCAAGGTAAAACAACCTTCCACAGTCAAATTCTACCGATCTGAACCAGCTCAAGTAAAAGTCACCTTTTTTTCTTACTAGAGGAACACAAGGCATGAATTGACAATTCTCTGAGTCACACACTCCCACAGTCTCCATCCAAAACCACAAAACATGTGACTCCCAGTGCCATCTAGCTCTCACCTCAAAGTCTTTCACCTTGGGGAGTCTGAAGCTCCAAAGAGAGCCATCATAAAGGGACCCGGACTAAGATAGGTCCTTATGGGGACACAGCCCTGGGGCCAGAGGGGAGTAATGGAGATTCAACCCCTGGGAGAACACCATCACCACCAGAGCCAGATCTCAACCCCTCCTCTGGAGGGCTCATCAACTTATCCAAAGAAGATGGAAATGTGTTAAGCCCACCTATCATGGAACAGATAGTAAGAGATGGGGTTCCTGACCTAATCATGAAATATGGAAAGAGGATCCCAGAGAAGGAAACCTGAGAGAATGAGAAAATATGAGACCCATCAGTCATGTTGTAGAAGGAGACATCCCCACCATCGTAGTTCAGGAAAACCCCCACTTGGCAGGGAATCTGTCTAAGAGTTAGTAATGTATCAGGGTTATTACAGGCACAAAATCCATCTGAAAAGTTTCCCACAACCCAAAAGCCCTTTTCTGGGCTCTCTTTGAACCACCCATCCCTATCCACAGCTTCCCTACAAACCCCCACAGCCCACTCGCTTGTGTCTCCACCTCTGACTTCCACTTCCCAGTAACATCTCCCTGACGTGATGCCCTTGGTGCCCCACACACTGCAGCTGTCATCACTCAGGTTCTCATGGTTGTCCTTCCAGGTCACACTCATGTTGTCCTGAGAGACGGCAAGGTCGCGATGGGCAGACTGTGGATCCAGAGTGACAGACCCTGTAAAGAGAGTTAGCAAATCATGCAAGCTCCTCCCCTGCATATAATAAGCACACAAAACCACCTTCCCTCAGACCTACTTAGTGCCATGATGAGATGGCTAAGCACCCTGAACTGAGAGCTAGTGATTCCAGTCCACAGACCTCCATGCATGATAAGGAACCAAAAGACTGATTTGGGAGTTCGATCCATCACAGTGCCCTTAAGAACCAGTTTGGACTCCCGGGCCTCAGCGATATCTAGTTAGCAACCAACATCTGTCACACTCCCTAGCCTCAGCTACATGACTGCCCCCTCTACATCCCACCCACCACAACCAGTGATGTCTGCATCTGTATCACCACCACCCAGAACTGAAGACGAGGCCAGAAGCTCCCAGACAAGAGGAGCTTCCAGAAAGAACTTCCAAGTCACTCACAAATCTGGAAGTCCTCCTTCCGCCAATCTACAAGAGAACCAACAATTTCATGTCAGAATATTACAGACTTTACACATCAGTGTCAACATCTTTTCTCACAAAACATAGTGATGCAGGAGTTCTAGGGGGAAACATTTTGGAAACATAAAACTGATTTATTTATTCCTAGGGGGAAATGTTTTGGAAACATAAAACTGATTTATTTATTCCTAGGGGGAAATGTTTGAAAACATAAAACTGAATTTTTTTCTCTATCTCTCACACATCCACAACATTCACCTTCCCATGAATCTTCCAAAGAAGGCTAAACTATGAGACTGAACACCCAAGGATTGAGAGGCTCAATGCCTACCTGAACAAAAAAGGTCATTGCCCAGTTTTGGCTATCAAATTCTGCTTTCTCAATCCTTAGCCAGGCAACTACATTTAAGCCTAGGCTTTGTTGAGAAAGAATCGAGGAAATCAAAATTTCCAAGGCCTCAATTTACTTATCAACAGTTGATTGAGCTAAACTTCAAGGATGGCTATAAACAATGGATAAAGAGAAATACAACTGGCTGAACTGAATTTACGGAATAACTGTAAGCCATGTTGTTGATGTTAAGTGCCATGAAGTAGGTTTTGACGCATAGTGACCCTGTATTGGATTTCTGAGGCTTTAAATCTTTTGTGGGAACAGAAAGCCTCATCTCTCTCACAGAGTGGCTGGTGGGCTTGAATCACCAACCTTTGTGGGTAACCTCTAATGCTTAACTTATGGGGCCACTTTGCTCCCTGACTTTAAGCCATAAGGGAATAAAATTCAAGATATAGCAGAAACTGACCCAAATTTAAAGTCAATAGGGCAAATTTGAGGAAAAAAGAGAAGTTCAAAGCATGAAGCACACACAATAGAAGAGCAGACACTAGTGACTTGTCTTTCCCTTTTCATAGTACAGTGGGGAAAAAACACTCAGCTATCCAAAGGAAAACCCAAAATATTGAATTTAATCATCTTCTTCCTCCAAGGATAGCCCAGAAACATTGCAAGCTTTCAGGAGAATCACATTGTGGCAAACAGAATACTAATCACAAAGATGTCTGTATCTTAAAGCCCAGACCCTGTGATTATGTTACCATGCATGTGCCTCCCTCCCTATGGGTCACTAAGTCAACATTGTTGTTGCTGTTGTTATTGTCAAATGTCATTGACTCAGTTCTGACTCATAGCAACCATGTATATAGTGTGACCAAGGAGCAGATGGTGGGTTTGAACTACCAACAAGTGTTTATCCTAGAATTTAATCTGTCCATTCAAGTGAAAGTCTATCCAGATTAAGAAGAACCTAAAATTCCTAAATCCCTCCTTAGATCTGAGGCCATAAAGGATGATGGCTCATTACACAGGATTTCTTACAGAAGGGATTAATAATCCCCTTCACCAGTTCATGTAATACTCCTGCATTCCTGTGAGGACACCTAGCAATCAAGATGGGAGATTTAGTCAAGATTTAAGAGCAATAAATCAAATAGTGGTAGCTAACTGCCCTGTCTTGTAAGCTAACAAAACTGTTGAAGCCACTTACTTTACATTAGTGGATATATGTAATGCATTCTTTAGCATCCTGTTACATCAATATTTGATTGTATTTACTTGGAATAATAAAAAAATTTGATTGTCCTGTCCCAAATTTTGATGAGTCCCATCATTATTATCCTCAGGTTCTTCATGGAGACGTACAACATCTGCAATTCCCTAAGAAATCAGACCTTATAATATTCATAATCTTTTACTTTGCTCTACAACTTACACTGATTGTATTTCAAGTGGCATTTATTTGCCTACCCACTGACCCATGAGGAACATACAGCTTCTATGGTGCAGTGAATTACTTAATACTGCTCATCTAGCCATAGTCTTTGTAACTCTCAGCAAATGATTGGGTGGGCAATGCAAATAGGGTCTATGGAATTCTAACATGGAAATTGGTTAATTCTGCCATCCCACTAGGTATAAAATAGCCTCAGAAGCAGGAAAAGGAGATCTCATTACCATCGAGATAGAAGAGCCAGGGGCAGAATGAGTTCTTTGGGCCCCGAGATCCTTACCTGCTGAACTAACTCCATCCAGGAGACAGAGTTGTGACACCAGAAAAGTGGTGGAGAAGCAGTGACAGCAGACATAGGAACAACAACAGTGTAAGACACAGTGGTAGGCTTCCTGGACCATGGAATGAGAAAGCTGAGTGTCTTAGAGCCAGAGGCTCACTTGTAGAATAAGATATCTTCGGGCACTTAATTGAGGGTGTCAGTTTTGATACTTCATGGAGCTATTGCTGAGCATCTTTGGGTTGAGGCCATTTTGGACACTTATCAGCAGCACTAAAGGAGCTTTATATCATTGCCTAAACAGGACAAAGGCCAAGGGACTGTGTGGTTGAGAGGCCGAGGAGCAGAAAGAGGCCTGTCTGGGCATGGCTGAAGAGAAACGTTCTTGACGGGAAGAACTGTATCCTGAACATTTCTGATCCTGATTTGTAACCTGTTGACTTCACCAATAAACCCCATAATCAATTTTCTGTGAGTTCTGTAGCCATTGCAATGGATTATTGAATTCAACAGAGAAGCAGAGAGTAGAGTGCTTTGGAAGGTTGGTGTGAGAATTGGCCTTGGACTGATGTTGCATTTGATTCTCCTTCCCACTTTTGAAGTCAGAGAAGGTCAGGCGTGGCCCCCGCGCCATTCTTTCAGCTTCTAAAGAAATACTCAGCTGATCTCTACTCAAGCTAAATATTTGAGTCACCTTCTTTCTGCCAAAGGTGTCACATTAGACCCCAGATGGAAAACAGCAAGTCTTAACTTCCCACCTCCAAAACCCAAGAAACAATTGAGAAGATTTTTAGAATTGTGCAGCTATTTTTGAACAGAGATTCCAAAATTTTAATGGCTCAACCCTTAAGAGAAATGATCCCCAGATTCTGGGTCCAGATGGGAATAACCCTGTTCATCATTTTAAATGTGTTCTGTACTCTCTCTGCTCATTAATGAGAGAGAAGGGACTGCCTTTGGAGAGCTAACACAAAAACATAGTGGTCAGCAAAGACCTGTGGGATATTATAGTTTACAACTAGTTCCAGTGGATTGTGCCCCCACCCCACATACATATTCAATTATGAACTACTGCAGCCACTGAAAAAATAATACTGCGATATAGTAATGGATGAAGCTCTTTATGTTTTGTTCCATGTAGTCAATGATTTGTTAAATTCTAGGGCATCCCACCACATGTGGCACTGTTAGATAAACAAGAGACAATTAACCACAAGGTCAATGGCTTAAACCTACCAGGGAAGCTATGAGTCGGAACTGACTCAATATCGCACACCAACCACAACCTCACATCCACCAGTTAAATAGCATCCACCGATAGAGCTATTCTACTTTACTCTCCTCACATTCACATTCAGCTTTTTGAAGCCCAAAATTTATCCACTTTATTACCTGTCATGAGTATATTAATGCACGACTGCTTAAATCTACTGAGCAGTTAGTTACCAACTCCCAAGCCTGATTTCTAAGAAACTCCTTTTAGAAAAAGCCTGACCTTATTTTCCTTGTAGACAGGTCATATCTTAAACATTCCCCAACCTCCTCCAAATTTCAGAGAAGCTGGGTTCTATGAAGAAAAACGTGGCATCAGGATTGGAGGAAGACTCATTAGCAACCTGCCATATGCAGATGATACAACCTTGCATGCTGAAAGTGAAGAGGAATTAAAACATTTACTGATGAAGATCAAAGAGCACAGCCTATGGTATGGATTACATCTCAATGTAAAGAAAACAAAAATCCTCACCACTGGACCAATAAACAATATTCTTATCAATGGAGAAAAGATTGAAGTTGTCAAGGACTTCAGTCTTCTTGGATCAACCATCAACACTCATAGAAGCAGCAGTCAAGAAATCAAACGATGTATTGCATTAGGCAAATCTACTGCACAAGACCTTTTTAAAGTGTTGAAGAGCAAAGATGTCAGCTTGAGGACTAAATTGTGCCTGACCCAAGCCATGGTATTTTCAATAACCTCGTATGCATGTGAAAGCTGGACAGTGAATAAGGAAGACCATAGAAGAATTGATGCTTTTGAGTTATGGTGTTGGAGGAGAATATTGAAAGTGCATGGGCTGCCAAAAGAACCAGCAGATCCATTTTGGAAAAAGTGCAGCCAGAGTGCTTCTTGGAGGCCAGGATGGCCAAACTTCATCTCTCATACTTTGGACATATTGTCAGAAGGGACCAGTTGCTGAAGAAGGATCTCATGTTTGGTAAGGTGGAGGGTCAGAGAGAAAGAGAAAGACCCCCAACGAGATGGATTGGCCAAATGGCAGCATCGATGGACTCAAGCGTGGCAACAATAGTGAGGTTGTCCCAGGATCAGACAGTGTTTCATTTTGCTGTGCATAGGGTTGCTATGGGTCGGTAACCTCTCAATGGTACCTAACAACAACAACAACAACAATGTCATAGTCTCCCATACTGTAGTAATAAAAATGGAACCCTTCCCTAAAGCCACCTCAAATCACAAGCAAAGCTATTGCTGTTCTTGAGCCTGCATATTAGTTAAGACTTAATAACTCAAATCAAACCCACTTTCATTGAGTCAATTCTGACTCACAGAGAACCTATACAGGGTTTTAAGACTCTAAATCTTTACAGGAGCATCTGTTGACATCTTTACTCTTCAACACTTTAAACAGGTCTTGTGCAACAGATTTGTCTAATGCAATGCGTCATATAATTTCTTGATTGCTGCTGCCATGAGTGTCCATGGTTGGTCCCAGCAAAATGAAGTCTTTGACAAGTTCAATCTTTTCTCCATTTACATGGATATTATTTATTGGTCCAGTGCTAAGGATTTTTGTTTTCTTTACATTGAGGTGCAACCTGTATCAAAGTCTGCAGTCTTTGATCTTCATCAGTAAGTATTTTGAGTTCTCCTTGTTTTCAGCAAACAAAGGTTGTATCATCTGCATATCGCCAGTTGTTAATGAGTCTTCCTCTTATCCTGATGCCACATTTTTCTTCATATAATCCAGCTTCCAGGATTATTTGCTCAGCATACAGACTGAATAAATATAGTGAAAGAATACAACCCTGGCATACACCTTTCCTAATTTCAAACCAATCAGTATCCCCTTGTTCTTTTGGAACAAATGCCTCTTGTTCTATGTACAGGTTCCTCATGAGCACAGTTACGTGTTCTGGAATACTCATTCTCTACAATGCTTTCCATAGTTTGTCATGATGCACACAATCTTATGTGTATTATGACTATGCTTTTGCATAGACATTGAGATGTAATCCATACCGAAGGCTGTGCTCTTTGATCTTCATCAGTAAATGTTTTAATTCCTCTTCACTTTCAGCACAGTCATAAGCTTATGACTATTAGTTAATATATCACAGATAAACATCTTTCTGCTATTCTCTGCTTTCAGCCAAGATCCATCTGATGTCTTCTTCCTTCAGCAATGATATCCCTCATTCCACATACTCTTTTGAATCTGGCGTGAACCTCTGGAAGTTCTCTGACAATGTATGGTTGCAGCTATTTTTTTAATTATCTTTAGCAAAATTTTGCTTGCATGAGTTATCAATGACATTGTCAGATGATTTCCGCATTTCATTCAATCACCTCTCTTTGGAAAGGGCACAAATATGGATCTCTTCCAGTCTGTTGACCAGGTAGCTCTCTTCTAAATTTCTTGGCAAAGATGAATGAGTGCCTCCAGTGCATCATCAGTTTGTTGAAAGATTTTAATTTGTATTCCACCAATTACTGGAGCCTTGTTTTTTGCCAATGACTTCATTGCCCCTTGGACTTCTTCCTTCAGTATCATTGGCTCTTGATCATATGCTACCTCTTGAAATGGATGAAAATTCACCTTTTCTTTTTGGTACAGTGACTCCGTATATTCCTTCCATCTTCTTTTGATGTTTTCTGCACCATTCAACATTTTAGCCATAGAATCCTTCATTATTTCAAGTGGAGGCTTGAATCTTTTCTTCAGTTCCCTCAGCTTGAGGAATGATGACATGTTCTTCCCTTTTGGCTTTCTAACTCCAGGACTTTGCTCATTTCATTATTATATTTGACTTTGTCTTCTCAAGCTGTTTTTTGAAATTTGCTTTTCAGCTCTTTTACCTCCTCATTTCTTCCATTTGCTCTCTTTGGAAAACATAAACTTACAATCTGTGAGACTATTACCAGAAAACCCATGATTTTGCCTCATGTTAAATTTATAGGTCCAAATATAGTTCAAGAAAGCCAAAACCAGAATCAAGAAGATAGGATTCTCCAGGTCAAAGGAATCTAGAACCAAGGACTCCTTAAGGAAAATCTGACTCCTAAACTGGCTGGTGTCATTTCTGAAATCTTCTGAAGACCTGCCATGCCTCATCTACACAGTCATCACCTGAATCTGATCCTTCCTGACAACTGAGCTCTCCATTGTCACTGAGAGCAAAAACAACTATGTTTCAGAGGGTACTGCTAACCCAAATAGTGGCCTGCACTGGAAAAATGGACCCAATGAGAGGAAGATCCTTGTACAAAGGGGAAATCACTGCACTCTTAGGATGTTGTTGTGAAGTGCCCTTGAGTCCATTTCAACTCATAGCAACCCTGTACACAGTTCCCAAGGATCAGCTGGTGGATTTGAACCACCAACCTTGTGGTTCCCAGTCCAGTGCTTATCTTACAGTGTTACACCAGGAGTCCACAGGCTTAGGATTAGTTGTTGTTGCTAAGTGCTGCCGAGACTGTTCTGACCCATAGCAACCCTGCAGAGGGTTTTTGAGGAGCTACTGGTGGGTTTTAGGATAGAGGCTATAAAAGTGACAAGGAGAGGAGGGATACCAGTCTTATCCTGGGGTACGAACGACTGAAAGAGGATGACTCAGGCTAAAGGCAGAAGCCAGTGGAGATGTGAAAAGTAAGGTCACAAATAGTTAAGAGTCACTTACCTGCATACAGCTGGGCCTTACTCCAGGCTGAAAGGGAACACACCCTAGTGAGGCTAAGGCCATGATCAGCATGAATCCCCTGGCCACCCACCACCTCTCTGTTCTAAAGGTGTGACTATGCAGAGGGAGACAGATCCTGGAAAAGAAATGATGAACAGTTGAACACAGAACTGGGCAGGAATGGTAGGAAATTTCCATGACCACAGGTCAGGAAGCCAGAATTACACTTCATGGTCTACATTGTGGGATTTGAGCAAGTCACTTACCTGTTCTGTTCCTCAATAACCTCAAAAACTCCTATCCTACCTGCATCCCACTGACAATCAAAAGTGCATGTGAAGTTATTTTAACAAATAAAATACAAATTATTCCATAAGAGTAAGAAAACATTGCAATATCTAGCCACTTTCTGAAAGATACGTATCTGGAAAATTAACAGAAGGAAGAATGAAAAAGGACAAAGATATATGGCAAGTTCCAGAGTAAAATTGGCCAACCATTTTATATATATATATATATCCCCCAGGATAATAGTCCCTGGATCCTGGGGAGCTCTCAGTTCTTGTTACCACATGTCCCTGCTTACTCATCCCAGTCCTCTCCCCATCACTTTCCATCAGGAGCTACAGAAGACTGACACACCCCAAGAAAAGGGTTGTTGAGAGGTCAGTAAGTCTCAGACCTAAACTACACCATTTCTTTATAGAGCTCCTTACATGAAGCCCCTGAGCATCTGCCTCTTAGCTTCCAAGTGCAGACTGAGAGTCAGCTGCACTGAAGACTCAACACTGAAAATATGGGACACAGGCCAGTGCTGGAGTGAGAAGACCCAGGATGCATGACAGATTCCAGTTCCCAGCACTGGGTGGGAACAGAGTCCCTGACCCAGGAGAGCCCCAGGGGCAGGATTCCGCTTCCCATCACCTTCCACTTCTGCCCCAGGGAGCACAGTCCTTATATCTATGCCAGAGAGGCACAGGGAGAGGGGACACCTGGACCCAGGTGGGATGGGAGACCCAGGGACATTTGGAGAGTCACTCACCAGTGTGGTAAACAACCTTCCTCCAGTCTGAAAGACAATACACAGGAAATGAGGTGAACTAAGAACTCGAATGTCTTGCCCAAGGGGGACACTGAGAGTTCAGGAGGAAGAGAAGAACTTACTCAGCTCTCTCTGGAGTTCATCTGAAAGATATGGCAAAAAAAAAAAAAAAAAGCATGAACTCTATGCCCCAAAAAAGGAAAGACTGTGCTGGAGAACCCACACAAAAAGACTCCCTCCGTATACTGCAGAAACTCCTTCTAGACCCATCTGAGCCCTCATGGCCCATAGCACCTCTCCAGATCTCCTGAGATTCCTGTTCTGAGTAAGGACCCTGGGTCTCCTGGAAACCACTGCTACCAGCTCTGTTCCTGCCCTCAGCTTTTCCTCAGAACACCAGCTCTGCCCTCCCCAGTCTAACACAGACCCTCCCTCTCTTACCTGCCTCCTTCATGGCCAACTCCAAGTCATTCTTGTCTTTCCCCTTTTCCTGCTGAAGATCCTCCTGATTCTTCTGCTCCTGCACCTTTGTTGAATGTTCTTTCTTGAGAAAATAGCCAGCACCTAAGCTGAGGAGCATCAGTATGGTCAGACTTACTGCAAAAGCTGGCATCCACGGAGAGACCTGTGGGAAAAAGGGCTCTGTGGCCCGCCAAAGACATCATTAGGGTGCACCCCAGTTCAGTTCAGCCCAGTAGAATCAGATCCCCATTCTCCTCTGCCCAGCCCAGCTTGAAGCAACAACAGTGCTGACCTGGAATGAAAATGGCCTTCACCTTCTCCTGACCCAGGATGGGGTTGAGGATGGAGCAGGTCACGTTCTCTACAGAGCTGTCTCTCACCACCAGTGAGGCCTCCACTCTGAACAGTCCAGCAACATCCTGGGCTTGGGCCTCCGAAAAAGCCAGGAACTTCTCTCCACTTAGGTCTTTCCACTGAACTTGGGGCTTCGGGAACCACCCAGAAGCCGTGCATACCACACGGACCCCATCTTCCTCTTGTCCTTCTATGCGTACTTCAGGGTCAGAACCCACACCTGCAAAAAGAAGCTGTGGAGCCAGAGCAGCCACTGTGTCCCTAGTGCAGGCCTCGGACCCAGAAAGCATGACTAGTAGGAAGCCATTGCTCTTGCATTTTGGAGGTTCTATGGAAAGGCCTCCTAGTGTGGCATTGTAGGATCAGAATTGGACAACGAATGAACCACAAGGTTAGCTGTTCAAACCCATGAGCAGCATCTTGAGAACCCTATACAGGGCCGCTGTGAGTCGGAATTGACTAGACACATTTAACATGGGAAGGCCGCCACCTAGTGATGGTAGGGACAAGACCACACCACGTGAAACCAAAGAAAAAGCATATGGACTCTTTGGTGAGCTCTGAGCTGACACTAAGGAGCCTTTTGGCATGCGGGTTAAACATTAGGCTGCTAAATGCAAGGTCAGCAGTTCAAATCCATGCAGATTTACCACCTAGGTAGGAGACCCTATAGAGCAGTTCTACTCTGTGCTGTACTTCAGAATCAACTTGAAAGCAGTGGGAGACTGGGGACTACTCTTTCCAACCACAGAGGTGGAAAGACTGAGGGACAGAGAAAAAAGGAGACAAACTTTCAAACTTCTTTTCTTGACATAAAACTCCAGACCAGGTCAGGATGGCGTCATTATAAACGTTTAGAGGATATAACTTGTTATATAGGTTTCTGAGGCTGTAAATCTTTATAGGAGCAGCTGGTAGAATTGAACCTTGTGGTTAGCAGCCCACGATGCTGGCACAGAGCAGGGGCTCTATATTTTTACACTGAATAAAAGAATGAACAAGTCTGCTTTTCTGAATTTATAAAATAAGAGGTTGAATTAAATCATCCTGAGGTTGCACCCAACTCCAATCCTTCAGGACTTTACAATATATAGAGCAAGTCACCAACCTGCCACTTTCACCTCCAAAGGGGCCTCTTCATAGAAATCTCCCTTCTTGAAGAAGCAGGTGTACATCCCATCGTCAGAAACCCGAATCTTGTTGATGCGTACAGACGCCTCTCCCTGAGTGAGGAACTCTCTCACCAGCGAGGTCCGCCCTTGGTACTGTGGCATCTGCTCCTCCTTCTGCTCCTGCTGGTTCTGATAGATGAACACCGCTTCTGAAAACTTGGACCGGAACCACCGCAGCTCCATCTTCTCCACATTCATGGGAGGAGACAGGGAGCAGGGCAGTGTGGTGTCCCCACCCAGCACTGCCACAATGGGGTCCTTGGGGCCATTCACGAAGAACTCCTCTGTGGATACAGACATGAGAAAGAGAAAGCTGGAGAGATGCAAGGTGATGGGAGAGAATACGCAGTCAACTTGGAGAGGACCTCTGGCTCTTAAAGAAATAAGCTGTGACCCGGTCAGGAGGTCAAGACCCTGTGGGCCCAAGCGTTGTCGACC